AATCTCCGCTGGATCCACGTGTGTCAGTCACACAAATCCCTATGCGCCGATGTGGAGACACGCCAGCTCAGTAATAAAATAATTGGAACCTGACACCTCACCCAATTCCGACGAAACAGTTCGCTGTCCATTGTCCCACTGCCGCGTGTCCATTTGTGTCCTAAGACCATCGGCAATGGAGATATCCGCTTTTGGGTATTTTCACTATTTTTTTTTTAATATTCACATCACCTTTTTTCTCTATCACGGATGAGATATTCTTTTTTATTTTATATTCGCAACAAAGATACTCATCATAATTTTTTAATAAATTTTTATTTTTATATTATATATATACTCTCTCCGTCCCATTAATAAGTATCCAATTACTTTTTACGCGCAATTTTAGGTATATTAGTATTATATTGGGATATAGTAGAAATAAAGTAGAAATAACTAAAATAACCTTGTTAGTATGTGTGATATAAAAGTAATGACATTTGTGTAATATATTATAAGTTGTAAGAGTATTTGTAATGTTAGGTAGATAGTACAGTTACTAAAAAAATAGATATTTTGTTATGGGACGGACTAAAATGAAAAAATGGATACTTTGTTATGGGACGGAGGGAGTATTATTTTTTAATTATAATTTTAATTTTTAGTATTAATTATTTATTTAATTATTATATTATATTATATTATATTATTATTTGTCAATATTTTGATTTATTAAAAAATTATGGGAAAAAATTATATTATTTATTAAATATTGACGGACAAAGATAATTTGACGGAGCAAGATCTGCTTATTAAGGCTAAATTGTTCGAAGAATTATTTTAAATATTGTTTAAATTATATGTATTTTGTTCTATGTTATTTAAATTATCTTGTCTTTTATTTTATATTAATATCTTATTATTAATTATGTATATATAATTAGTTATAAACTAAATATATTTATTATTTAATATAATTTTATATTATTTAATTGCTTTAAAATTTATAATTATATTTTATTTAATAAATTAAATTAAATTTATTAATATTATTTGTTCAATAGAATTATATAATATTTGTATTTATATATTTTAAAATTTAAATTAATAAAATATATTCAATATTGGTATCATTTTGTAGAATACAAGATATTATGAATTATAAAATATTGCAAAATTTAAATATAACAATAAATTCAATATAAATTACAAAAACAAAATATATATAATGTATATCATATATATATACATATATATACATAAATGTCATGTGTTCCAACAATTAGACAAGATCTTCAGAGATGTTGGGAAGCAACATATTTATCATTTTTTTATTTTTTATTTTTAAAAATTGGTGATGTGGCGTTGCGGACGACCTAAATGCTGTAGAAATCGTGTATTTATTTAATTATTTTTAAAAAATCGGTTCAAATTATTTATAAATTTATTTTATTAATCAAAATTTTCGATTCGAGTACGATTCATAATTTAAATATTTGTTCGATTTATTTTAAATATCATATATTCGTATATTTACAAATATCTAAAGCATATATCTACTATTGTAAATATAATATTGTTGATGTAATTTTTCAACAAAAATAAAGTAAAATTCAAAGATATAGAAAATATCCTTAAACTTGATTAATTAGTGCCTGAGATTAGGAATCTCTAAACACTGTATGGTACAGAAAATAAACTGGAAAATAAAAGACTGAAATTTAAAGTGGTGATCCCCAAATCTGACTTTGCTTTGTTGAAGTTGATTGAAGATGCCTTGCCAAATGATGATCCAAATCCTTAAATATTCTTTGAAGAAAACGTTCAGAACCGTCGCACTGTTTCACCAACCGTTCCCACCAGTTACAGAACTCAGAACTGCCTCTTTCATTGACACATGTCTTTAACCGCCTCGCCAACCGCATAACCCAACGATCGACCAACCGACCAATCTAGATACATAATTGGTCGCCAGATCAAAAGACTCACTGGTCGCCCCATCAAACGACCACTATTTGGTCTCTTCAATCGTCTGACCTATCAACAGACCTTTCTTCGCCCGACTTCCTTTTTCGACCGACCCCCATAGCAGCCAACCTTTGTATCAACCGACCCATTTATCCGACTGCGGATAATCCGACCTGCTTGCCCGACCGCGGACCATCTGACTTGCTTATCTGATTGAGAACCAACCGACTGAGAACCCACCGACTGACTCTGGATACCTTATTATTATTATTATTATTATTATTATTATTATTATTATTATTATTATTATTATTATTATTTTTTGTGCGTAACAACATGCCTCCTCCTCAAGACTCCTAAGCATCATTTCTTATGATGTTTTAGGAGTTAGTAGGTTAGCATCCGAGGCTACGTCAGCCTCAGATCCGACCTCCATCCTTTGAGGCTACGTTGGACCCGACCTCCATTTATCGCGGACTGGTGCTGGCCTGGACGTTGGTCGATCTTGCACTACCATTGTATTCAGACTCCCGTCCGACTTATTCCTCCTTTCGGCCACTGTTGTTCTGTCATTCTTTTGCTCGCCTGAAAAGTTATGGTCGGCGACCTGACCCGTGTCCGTCCATTCGGCGGGGTCCTCCTGACCTGTATCCGTCCATTCGGCGGGGTCCTCCTGACCTGTATCCGTCCATTCGGCGGGGTCCTCCTGACCTGTATCCGTCCAGGTTATGTAGTCCTCCCGATTTTTGTCCGTCCAGTCGACGTGGTCTTCCCGATCTGTATTCGTCCAGTCGGCGTGGTCCTCCCGACCTTTGTCCATCCAGTCGGTGTGGTTGTCCCGACTACGGTCCGTCCATTCGGTGTGGTCCTCCCGACCATGGTCCGTCCAGTCGGTGTGGTCTTCCCGACCATGGTCCGTCCAGGCGTCGTGATCCTGCCGACCTGTCTCCGTCCATTCGGTCGTCCCTGGTCGGGCCTGTCCTCCTGTTTGGTCCTGTCTCCAGTCTGTCTGACTGGGTATATGCTCAGGAATGGCGTTGTCCGTTTGGGGGCATGACATTTCTGGCGGTGCAGGAACCGAATTCAACATGAATTTTGATTGCTCCATCAAGTTTTGCATTGCGTCATGTATTGCCTGCAGATTTGCTATCTGCTGGTCGTACATTTGCCGAAAACCTGCTGTAAAACCTGCTGTCAATTCGGCCCGTAGTTGGGAAGCTTCTTCTGCCGTGATAAAGCCAACGGCTGTACTGTGGAATTGAAAATTTGCCATATGGATCAGCAATTTTCTCCCACTGTGGTCGCCAATTTGTTGATGTAATTTTTCAACAAAAATAAAGTAAAATTCAAAGATATAGAAAATATCCTTAAACTTGATTAATTAGTGCCTGAGATTAGGAATCTCTAAACACTGTATGGTACATAAAATAAACTGGAAAATAAAAGACTGAAATTTAAAGTGGTGATCCCCAAATCTGACTTTGCTTTGTTGAAGTTGATTGAAGATGCCTTGCCAAATGATGATCCAAATCCTTAAATATTCTTTGAAGAAAACGTTCAGAACCGTCGCACTGTTTCACCAACCGTTCCCACCAGTTACAGAACTCAGAACTGCCTCTTTCATTGACACATGTCTTTAACCGCCTCGCCAACCGCATAACCCAACGACCGACCAACCGACCAATCTAGATACATAATTGGTCGCCAGATCAAAAGACTCACTGGTCGCCCCATCAAACGACCACTATTTGGTCTCTTCAATCGTCTGACCTATCAACAGACCTTTCTTCGCCCGACTTCCTTTTTCGACCGACCCCCATAGCAGCCAACCTTTGTATCAACCGACCCATTTATCCGACTGCGGATAATCCGACCTGCTTGCCCGACCGCGGACCATCTGACTTGCTTATCTGATTGAGAACCAACCGACTGAGAACCCACCGACTGACTCTAGATACCTTATTATTATTATTATTATTATTATTATTATTATTATTATTATTATTATTTTTTGTGCGTAACAAATATATAAGAATTTTTTTGTATTAATACGTGATAATTTTTTAGAAAATAAAAAATAAATACTGTTGAGTTAAATAAATAAAAATAGTAAAAAGGATATACTTTGTTGAAAGAAAATGAATAATATATATATAAAGAGAGAATAAGGTTTGTATTTATTTTAATTTTGAAAGTTGTATTTATCCATTCAGTCACATGAATCTATACATTCATGTAAGTAATACTTTAATCATTAATTTGATCCAATAATGAGATGCTTTTGTGTCTCAATAAAGGCACCTTTGCCGCTCACTCCGTATAATAATAATAATAATAATAATAATAATAATAATAATAGGAGCAATTAATTATATCCTATTTAAAATTAATTTTATCATTTTTGGTCTTACTAAAAAATATTTATTAAAACTAATTTCACATAAAAATAAAATTCATTATCTTAGTCTCACCGTTTAAATTTTATTAGATTGTGCTGACGTGGCAGTTCAGGTCTGACAGTTGAGTCAGATTGAACACGGTCGTGCCACATGGAACACGACCGTGTTCATACAAATACACCCGTGTTCAAACTCAGATCATCACTTGATCTTAACCTATGATCTTAATTAATATTTCTTAAGTATTAATTAAATGTCTACTACTGTCAAAAACAAAAATAGCAAACAATCTGACAGTACGATTAGTAAACCTAAGACTAAAATTAGTGAAGAAAAGGCAATTCAATTTCCTAGGGCACCAGTTTTTGGATGAGACATGTGACTGATGATTTAAATCTAATTTGGGATATATATATTTATATTTATAGTATAGTGTGACTGTGTAGACTGTAGAGAGACAACAGAAGTTGGGTAGTTGGAACGTGGGATGTCTGTCAATATCACAAATGACGTAGCACTCCTACTCACCGTCCGATCGATCCACCCATTTCCCACCGTCCGATCGGCCTTCTCTGGATTTCCTCCAATCACCAACACGGATAGAGACTCCCCACCCCACCCCACCATCGGCACTTCACCATCTTCATCACCAAAGCTTCTCTTCCAAATCCATGGCGGATCTTCATCCTCCCTATAAATACCTCCCTTCCTTCCACACTTTCCCACACACATTTGTTCCCCTCCGTTCGCTCTGTTTTCAGAGCTCACGCGTTTATTCCGTCCCCTAGGGTTTTCTTCAACCCTAATTTCTATTTTCATTTTCCACGGCAATTAAGCTTCCAATCTTCTTCTTATTCTTCCTCATTGTTCTTTTGATTTCGAATTTTTCTGTAAATTCGAATTCCGATGACGATTAAGCCAACTGTAAGGATCGCGGAGAGGAAATTGGTGGTGAAGGACAGAACAATCCTCACCAACGTGCCGGAAAACGTCGTCGGCGCCTCCGGCGCCGCCGCCGGCCCGGCGGAGGGCGTGTTTCTAGGGGCGGTTTTCGACGAAGACAGCTGCCGCCATGTCGTCTCTCTCGGTACTCTCCGCGACGTCCGATTTCTCGCCTGTTTCAGATTCAAGCTATGGTGGATGGCGCAGAAAATGGGCGACGCCGGCCGCGAAATCCCCCTGGAAACTCAGTTCCTCCTCGTGGAGACGAAGGACGGCTCGCAGCTCGAATCCGCCGTCGCCGGAGATTCTGACCACAAAATCGTCTACACCGTCTTCCTCCCCCTCATCGAAGGTCCCTTCAAAGCCTGCCTCCAAGGCAACGCCGCCGACGAGCTCGAGCTCTGCCTCGAAACCGGCGACTCCGCCACCGTCGGCTCCGCCTTCACCCACGCCGTCTACATCAGCGCCGGCACCGACCCCTACGCCACCATCCACGACGCAATCAAGGCCGTCAAATCACACCTCGGAACCTTCCGCCTCCGCCCGGAGAAAAAACTCCCCGGAATCGTCGATTACTTCGGCTGGTGCACGTGGGACGCCTTCTACCAAGAGGTCACTCAGGAAGGCGTCGCCGCCGGCCTGCAGAGCCTCAACTCCGGCCACACGCCGCCCAAATTCGTCATCATCGACGACGGCTGGCAATCCGTCGCCTCCGACGGCAGCAAGCCGGAGGAGCTCCTCCGCCTCACCGGAATCAAAGAGAATTCCAAATTCCAGAAGAAGGAAGATCCATCTCAGGGCATCAAGAACATCGTCAACATCGCCAAGAATCAACACGGCCTCAAACACGTCTACGTCTGGCACGCCATCACCGGCTACTGGGGCGGCGTCCGCCCCGGCGTCAAGGAGATGGAACAGTACGAATCGGCGATGCAATACCCCAACGTGTCGAAAGGCGTCCTCGCCAACGAGCCCGGCTGGAAAACCGACGTCATAGCCATCCAAGGATTGGGACTTGTCAACCCCAAGAACGTCTACAAGTTCTACAATGAGTTGCACAGCTACCTCGCCGCTGCCGGCGTAGACGGCGTCAAGGTCGACGTGCAGTGCATACTCGAGACCCTCGGCGCCGGGCTCGGCGGCAGAGTCGAGCTCACACGCCAGTATCATCAAGCGCTCGATGCCTCCGTTGCTCGGAACTTCCCCGACAATGGCTGCATTGCTTGTATGAGCCATAATCTCGAGTCGCTCTATTGGTACGGTGCTGATTTTTGACATTTTTTCAATAATTAGTGGTAGTGTTTTTTTCGTTGTAATTGGCTTAATTTTGTTACGTGGTTGCGACAGCTCGAAGCAGACGGCGATCGTGCGAGCCTCCGACGATTTCTACCCGAGGGATCCGGTGTCACACACGATCCACATCGCCGCCGTCGCGTATAACAGCGTGTTTTTAGGGGAGGTGATGCTGCCGGATTGGGACATGTTCCATTCTTTCCATCCGGCTGCTGAGTACCACGGCTCGGCGAGGGCAATCAGCGGAGGACCCGTCTATGTTAGGTGAGGAAAACGAATACGCCGGTTTTGATGATGCGCGAGTCGTGACCGATGGTGCTGGATAATTGATATACCTCGATTTGTTTTGCAGCGATGCACCGGGGAAGCACAACTTCGATCTTCTAAGGAAGCTTGTATTGCCGGATGGGTCGGTCCTCCGGGCCCGATTACCCGGCCGGCCGACTAAGGATTGCCTGTTCTCCGACCCAGCCCGTGACGGCGTTAGGTGAGGGAGTTTGCGAATGTTTTCAACTGATTCGGAGATTTATAGGTGTCGATTTTTAACTTTGTCGATGATGTTTTACTACAGCCTGTTGAAGATATGGAACATGAACAAGTTTACCGGGGTGCTCGGCGTGTACAACTGCCAAGGTGCGGCGTGGAATGCCGAGGAGAGGAAGAACACGTTCCACCAGACGACAGCGGAGGCGATCACCGGCTGTGTCCGTGGCTGCGACGTCCATCTGATATCGGAAGCGGCTGCCGGGGAGTCTGACTGGAACGGAGACGTGGCGCTCTACTCTCACCGGGTTGGCGAAGTTATCATCCTCCCGCACAACGTGGCGATGCCGGTATCCCTCAAGGTGTTGGAGCATGAGATCTTTACGGTGACGCCAATCAAAGTATTGGCACCCGGCATCAGCTTTGCACCGTTTGGGCTCATCAACATGTTCAATGCCGGCGGGGCGATAGAAGCGCTCGAGTACGAAGTGAAGGCGCCGTCGGGAATGGAGAGCGGGTATGATCGCGAAGAACGAGTCGAGAACTTGAGCGCAACGGCTGTTGCCGTCGTTTCCATGGAAGTGAAGGGGTGTGGGAGTTTTGGGGTGTACTCGTCGACGAAGCCGAGGAAGTGCGTCGTGGGATCGGAAGAGGTTGATTTTGACTACGAGTCGGCATCAGGGCTGGCGACGGTGAAGTTGCCGGAGATGCCGCTGGAGGAGGCGAAGGTTCATAGAGTTAAGATGGAGATATGAGAAGGTGTTGTAAGGAATTTAATTGATTGTTTGTTTGGGAAGAGGGAATGGAATGAAGAACGTACGTTTGAGCATATTTACAGGGTAAACTCACTTAAACCAAAAAAAAAATCAAAACAAACATGATAATAGTATGATATCTTGACACAAATATTATACAATAAGACTTCAAAGATATGTGGTCGATCGATCGTTTGATTATGCATGCAGCAAATTCTAGTCTAAAAAAAAACATTCCTACCTAATACTAAACTTAACTAAATTGGTAGTTCCATTTTCACACCAGGATCGGATTGAATCTCCATTCTCTCCGATTGAAGCCAATCCTTGGCGCAAATGAGGGCCTCGACCGTCTCCGGCCGCAACGAGCACCGGTAGCTATCCATCTCCTTGCGCACGGTATCAAACACAGCACCCGGAGGCACAGTACAGACAGGTATCGACAGGATGTCTCGAGCCATCTTGGAGAGTGTCGGATACTTGATCCGGTTAAGTTTCCACCACCCGATCACATCGAATTCGTGCACTCGCGGCAGAAGGCTCTCTCCCAGATACAGATCCAACTCGGATTTCGAATCCTGGCTTGCTGTTTCCATGATATAGACGTCGAAATCTGAGAGTCCGAGACCGTTGCCTGAGGTTCCCATTCCTTGTGCATCCTCAGGTTTGGGACCCATTCCATTGGCTTCTTCGGTGTATGCCGGAGTTAGGGTCAGCGGGAGAGCTATGTACTCGAGAAATAGCTCGTGGATGCCGTCATCAACTATTTTGACATATGAGGCAGCCTCCTCGCCGTATATCTTTGAGAAACTGAACTCGACGAGCTTCATTTTGAACCGGGGGTCCATAACCACAGAAAGTGCTAGAATAAAGCAGCAACTCTTCCAGTATTTATCGAACCTCTCTTGCATAAGCTTGGTCAGGGAACTCACAAAGGGGTCTTCGTTGGTTGCTGCGCGCGCCAATTCTAACTGAATCTTCCACGCTTCATGGAAATAAGCATTTGTTGTCGGAGTAGCTCCAGTGGTCAGAAGATTGGCTGTGTCGAAGAATGGTTTTAGATGACTGCAGAGAATCTCTATTTGCCTCCAATCTTCAGCCGAGGGGGCGTCCTTATAGTCGGGATCAGAAGTATCCAAGCAAGAGAAGACTTCCTTCAATTCAGACGCAGCCAACAACATTTCATAAGTCGTGTTCCACTGAGTTTGGACGTCAACGGAAAGTGTCTTCGAGCTAGGCACTTGAAGTTGCTGCTTTAGGTCGACAAACTTCTCCTCGCGAGATTCTGAAGTCTTGACATACTTGACGCTGTCCCTAACTTTCTTAACAATGCCCTGAACCGAAGCTAATACCTCCTGGACAATGTTGCTTAGGGATCGTGCGAGGCAATTCCCCAACAACAGCTGGCCACCAAGAACCGAGGGGTTCTTAACCGAAAGCAATGCTCGAAGATTGTCAATTGCGCCATCACTCAGCTGTTGGTTTATAGCTACAGAGAATAACTTGCCGTCCATATTCCAGTCGGACAGGCATGCAGCGACAGAATGGCTGAAAGCAGTATCAGAGTCGAGATAAGGCTCCATGATCACATTAAGCAGCTTATGGTGCATTTTCCATTCACTATCAACAAACTGGCCCCTAACAAACACATATCCGGTAGTTTGGCATGAGGACCATAAATCCAGAGTAAGGCAGATTCGCCCGGGCACCCCCTCGATAACTTTCTGAATGATCTGCTTCTCCCTCAGATAAGTTGCAACACAGTCTCCCTGCACGGTATTAAAGCTGACCATATCAAAGCGAGGTTGTAAATTCCGAACAAAGGCCACAAAACCTGGTTGTTCCACCATGTGCAGGGGATAGTCATGCATAATAATCATCCTAGCAATCTCATGTCGGCACCGATCTGCATCAAAGTTCATTAAAGGTACGCTGCCTGCTTGTCGATAGCGTCGTTTTGGTGTGTCAGTAAATGTGCTAATCTTCGAAGGAGCACTGTATGGGGTGATCTGATTCTTCTCCTGATTGCGCAACACCATCGGGCAGGCCCCCTTTGCAATGTGACGCTTTAGATGACTCGTACCAGCTACCTTATTCCCTGTGCTGTATGCGAATGTTTGTTTGCATTGCTTACAGCAAGCCTTCCTGCATCCGGGACCAAAATTCTCGATGGTGAAATGTTCCCACACAACCGACTTCTTTTTCCTCCGCTTTGGGGCCGGAGCTGTTTCAGTGTCACCCTCTGGCATCTCTATATAGGCAGGCTGAGGCTCTAAAATGTCAAGTTGCATTTCTGACTCAATGGCTTCTGTATCCATAGGAACAAGCTCATTATTCATGACCATATCCTGGTTTTCCATCTCCATCTTGGCTGGCTAAACTTTAGCTAACCTCCTGCATATTCAAGAAAACAATCATAAGCTAAGTTCAGGGATCGAAGCCTAAAAACACACAAAGCTATACACCAAAATGATGGTATGTTATCACGGTAGCCCACTGCAATTATTGGCAAAAAAATAAAAATTACATCTCTTCTAAATGAGAAATTGTCAAACCATCCTGATAACATTACTCAATCAAGTATAACATTTGAAGTCACAATAGATCGGACTCCTAAATTTAAAAATGAAATTTCATGAATAGCACACTATGAATGTGACAGACTAAATATTTCAAAAATTAAAACACATTCAAGAACAGATGGCCATGGAAGAAACACGTTTAACGCAATAGTGGAGTAAAACAGAAACAATCGGCCATTGGACACTGGGGATGAATTGAATTTCGAGTATAGTCAAGTGCGCCGAGGGGTTTAGTGTGATGCTTGACAGATGGGCCTTGCGGCATGGCATCACCCACCCAGGCACCATGTACTATGATTTGTCAAGAACCCACAACCACAAAAGGCTTAAAAGATGATATTTACAGTTTCTAAATCGTTCTTTAACCAGGGCCCAACTGGGCCTGGTTTCACCCAAGAAATGGAAACAACACACGTTATTGAACACGATGGTATGTATGCATGTATCCATGCCCGAATATCACAATTACAAAAAAAAAACCCTACCACGAATCACAGGATCCAAATCCAATTCACAGATTTTTAACCTTTAACAGCACAGGATGCATATGAACAAGTTAGCGACAAAAAACACAAGGGAAAGCAGATTTGGTGCTCTTCGTCACAAGCCATGGGCTTCAAGAATCAAATCTAAAGCCCATCTACCCAGAAACTTGAACTGAATAGCAATATTCATCAGAAAACAGGACATTAATAAACCCACTCAATTCCATAAATATCATTATGTGACAAGCTACAAACAAGGAAAGCCTTCCAACAGCAGATTTTAGAACCTTTAACACACTCGAAAACAGGAGCGAAACGAAGTCAAACACATTTCAAACCATCAAAGGAAACAAACTCAGCACAGAACTTTAAGATCCGATAGCTCCAAGAGCCAGCGACACATAACAATTCAAATTCAATTTCAAAACAGCATAATCAAACAAAGAATCCAAAGAAAACACGAACAGATGCCAATCTCGAGTCAACCCCACAAAATCAAAAGAAAAAACGCCACAGAGCAACAACAACAACAATTGCCAACCAAATCAAAACCAAAATTCAAATCGAAAACCACAACGATCCACAAAAATTCCCACAAATCAAAGCCGCAATCCATACCAGCTAAAAGAAGAAGATCTCGCAGCAAATCCACGCCGGAGCGGCGCGATTCCGAGGTTTCAGATCTAGGGTTCCGAAGGCCGAGACCCTCGATCGGCAAATTGGGCTTGCAATTGGACCCGCGGAGAGATCGAGTTTGGGGATCGGTTCGAAATCGAGAGACGTGAACGATATTAGGGTTTGTTTGTTGGCGGAAAACAAAACATATATTAAACCAAATTAGATATGGACTTTGGGTCCGGTTCGGTCCATATACTTTACACATCTTCATATTAGGTCAGACCACGCGGCCCGTCCGCCTATAATAAACTACTAGTACATCATTATCATCCAATTTGAGCCAACATAAAATACTACTCCTACAACTTACAACTTAATTTTTTATTTATTAGTTCAAAAAATTATTTTTATTTAAATTATAATAACTATATTTTATCAAAAACATTATTTTATGTTTATAACTAATTTAAAGTACAACAAATTCAATTTAAATCCCTCTCCTCTAAAAATTATTTATGTTCAGTCATTCTTTCTATTTCTATTAAACTGCGCTACCTATTTTTATTAATTTCTTACATATTTCTCTCTATTTAATTTTTTCTTTCATTATTACCCTTATTTTTTAAAAAGATAATATTACCCTTATTTTTCTTATTCCCAAATTCTCTCCTTTTCTATTTTTCCTCTCAATTGATTCATTTTGTGTGAAATTAAACAACCCATTAATGTCCAACAATTCTTCTCCTACGGATATCATTTCAAAAAAAATGCAAGAAATCTCAATAATTGGCAAACATAAGAAATATTGGTGAATATCGAATGTATTTTGAACATAGGTGTGCAGAAATACAAACTCAATCTTCTTGTTTTCCCGGTGCACTTCTCTATCCTTAAGGAAGACAAAGTAAGGAATCTCAATGTCTTTATTTTGATGATCAAATATAGCACAAGAAAATTTTTTTATATATTTGTTTCTAATATCTTCGACGGTATTATGGATTGTTCAAATAATTTATTTTTCTATCAAAGCGGTGAATGTTTCTTTTTGGTGGAAAGAAACAAAATAACAGTTTATTGAAGAATAAAGTTTCTAATGTATATCATTGATTTTTTTTTTTTTAACCTTTTTAAAATTTAAGTTTTTGGATTTAAAGTTCAAAGTTTAAGATTTATAATTTGTGATATGATCACAATAGTGATAGAGGTGTGTAATTGAATAGATGACCACATAATCTATACAATATGATCGCAATGCACATATATTATACGATCATCTATTTGATTTTACCAAAGTATATAAATAATAAATATGAACATTATTGTGTTTCATATATACACATCTAACTCTTGAAGACATAATATTATGACATAAATTTATGACTTATTAAC